ACACATATGCCCCCCCCCCACACACACACACACATACACACATATGCCCGCACACACACACACACACATATGCCCACTATTGTATGCCCACTATTGTACGAACAAGCACACAAATATTATATTATACACAAATCACTTACCTGAAAGGTAGCTACACACGAATACAATGCACAGTAGTCGTCTCGATGCCATATCTTCTAATAAATAGTGAATAGTTGACCTATGATCAGAACGACATAAATATCACACCAATAATAAATTATATAATACACATCAATACATTTAGATTTTGTTTTCCACTACCTTAACCTAAGATTATGCCTGTAAGGAATGCAATTTTAAGCTATCTCCCGTTCGAATATGACCTACCGATTCATATATAACAATTTAAGTACAAGAACTCACCCTTAAATTCCACTTTAGTTTCGACCTCTCGCAAGACGTTCTAGTATATCGTTGTAACTTTTAACATTCCATGCCTCTTGGAGTTGAACATCGGGAACAAGACCAACCATTTGATCCCGCTACATTATCTATGGTAAAGGTATCCGTGTGACACTATCGCCGGATACACTCCTTTATATCTCATTCCACTAATTTGTTCCCAATTTTCCCCTGGGTGTTTCTCTATTGTTGGTGGTGTCACGCCGCATTTCAGAAAGGTGGTTTGGAGATTGAAGGCTTCTTCTGGTAACCTGGTTACATTGCGTGTATTGTGCCGTAGCCCTCAGTCTAATGCGGCAGTGAATAAGTAATTAGGATCACGTTAAGGTGCCTTTGAATTGGTATGGCTTCAGGACGAAGTACCGGAGTGAACCGCTAGATGGCCTAACACTTCCAGAACAGTATTAAAGAGCAAGCCAATCTCTATTTCTCCTATATTTTCTTGCAATATCTTCCAATAGATTTTAAAAATCAGTGTCATTTTTTTGCTGTGAGAATGTGTGGAAAGCAAAATGGTGGAAACGAAAGACTTTTACAGCTGCATAGTCACAAACTCTCGCGAGATTTCGCGAGGTTGGATCGCGTGACTTCGCCGAGTCATCATACATTTATAATGACGTACTGACAGTCCCATTATCGTCCCTAATGTCCCGGAATGTTTTGGATCAATTTTTCATGTGAGGGGGTAAAGAATAAAGATGGTCAGAAGTATGTACTATAGACTGAGCAGAAGGCATTCGGATCATGATAAAAGATCACGTCCTCCAAGGCTCTGGCCTGGGTAGTCCAAGGTAGTTAGCGACAGTACGGAGCCGATTGTAACTCTGGAGGGTGGCACCCAGGCTATATCGAAGCTCCACGACTCAAGAACTCAGTAAATACGTACAGTGCCGACTCATAAATTACACGACAAGCCAGCATGTGTCGGCTTGTCGTATACGTCTATGTACTACCGCAAATTCACTTTGTATTTCTGTGGTTTAATTAGTAGCATTTTTTGCCGGATTTTTTTAAATTCGCCCTCGTGCACTAGTTTGGGGGTCTTCAGAGGATGTCATCCATAAAATTAAGTCGGTGTGGCCTTATTTGCAAGTCATGCCCAACCCTAGCCTTAAATGCAACATGCTCCAACATGCCACTTACACCCATTACTACATCACAAAGGAAAAATTTAGCTGACTGCTTTTGTATACAGTGAACTTCGTCCGTACGGTCAACTTTTTGTCACATTATATTCTGCCTTACTTCCGGGTGTCAGTAACCTCTATCAGGCTTCGGAAACGATTGGGAAGAATAGAAATTGACCAAATATGCCAGGGGAGTTTGTCCAAGCTACGAGAACAGTTTGCCGTACCACTTCAATACTAGTTTTAACGTGTATAACGTTACACACTTCCATTAAGTGACATATAGAAAACTAGACAAATCGGAAACGGATACAGAAAGCTTGCCTACAAATGTTGTCATTACACAATCAAATTCACAACAACACAGCACTTACCTTACCTTAGACCTTAAAGTCAAGATTAAACAAAAGCAACTGACCCACAGCCTTCGGTTATTTGAGCCAGTGTCGTAGTATATTTCCTCTGTTCTGTTGGACTCCACATATTGGGTACTCTAAGTGCCGATATGTTCCAAAACCCTAAAGCACACGTGGTGCTGATTACATTGTTACTTTTGTATGGGGGAAACTGGGCCCAAAGCTATACAAGCAGAGGGATTGAACTTGTGATTTATATTTTGTGAGAAACTTCTGTCCAAATGCACATGTGGCGCTATTGAACGGGTGCATTTTATGGTGAAGGGGGGGGAGGGGGTTAGCCTCTAAAAGCTAGGAAGCATTGCAAGTGTCGATGGTACTTTTCAATTGATTTTTTCAAGCTTCAAGCTTTGGGCAAGAAAAGAGACCACTTCTATGCACTGAACTAAATTAAGGTTACTTGAATATCATCTCTTTTCCCTAAGTCAGAAATATCAATGCTGGAGACAAGTAGCCTCCATAGCATGCCAAAAACAGGGGGTCTCCAGGGTCTTTCATGTGCTATTTTCTGATTGCATATAGCTATTTAGACAACATAACCGGCCTGGTTGAATTACGCCCGTTTTTCGCCTCCATAGCATGCCAAAAACTGGGGGTTTGGGGGCCTTCATGGTCTTTCATGGGGAGCTTTTATGTGCCATTTTCTGATTGCATATAGACAACATTGCCGGCTTGGTTGAATTACCCCCGTTTTTTATAACTGGGCTAATCAGAAAACAGCCAAAGACCACCAAACCCCAGTTCTATAAGCCTGCTACGGAGGCCAGGAGACATACTTGATTCACAGAGAGGGCTAACGAAGGCTGTGAAGATTACCTATCCCATTTTGGCCGGAACGGTTTTGATCCAATCACACAAAGAAGGATCCGTAATCTTAAAGGTCGGTGTGGTGGGTTCTTTAACATGCTCGATTTGGGGCTGTCTTCACACGTTATGTATATATGCTTTATCATAAACTTGATTTGACAATACGTCGATGAAGGTTAGACATCCAGGTAATACGATATGCCAAAAAACAGTTACTCAAGCAACTGGATATGATTTGGAAACGTCAGACGTTTCAGCTAGTATCCACTAGCTTTCGTCAGTGACTGAGAGACCAGAGGGGAAAGCAGGTTTATATACACAACCTGTTGATTGATATGCAAATAAAGTGAAGACAAATTTTTTGAAATTATTTCACAATAATTGTAGATAGATGGTAAATGTTGGCCTGCGAATATCACGTAAATTTTATTAAGCTTTTGTGAAGCTTTTTTTTCCAATTTTTCTATTTACTTGAAGTAGGACTGACATAAGGGTCCAAAGTACAGGGTGCAAGGTACAAGGTAGTCACTTCAAAGGTTTAAGCATTACATCAGCGTTGTGCCTAGGTGCACAAAGTATGCGTACTGTATATTTGCCTCCGGACTTTGGACTGGCGTTATAGATAGGTGTGGTGGGTTCTTTAACATGCTCAATTTGTAGAAGTTAATGTTGGCAAGCGGATATCACGCATATTTTATTCAGCTTTTATAAGCTTTTTTTAAATTAATTTTTGTATTTAACCTGAAGTAGCCCTTAGATATGGGTCCAAAGTACAGGGTGCATGGTACAAGGTAGTCACTTCAAACATTTAAGCATTACATCAGCGTTATACCTACACACACAAAGTATTCGTACTGTATATTTGCCGGACTTTGGACTGGCGTTCTTTTCAAATCAGGAACAAGGTCGTTGACAATTTTCAAACTACAAGATAAGGACAGGTGTTGTGACGTCATTTATACCCCACGGGGCTTGGACATGACGTCATAGAAAACTGCAACTCAAACACAGACAGACGAGAAAACAAAGAAAGTCTGGTCTCGTATCGTGATTTTATTGACAGAGAAAGCTGGCGTGATAAAATGCCTTGCCACATGGGCAGCTGATCATACATTTGTACATACGTTCCTGATTCTTTAGCAAACAGTACTGGGAGATGGGGGGCACTGTGGCCTGTAACAGATCTAAAAATTATTGAAGCGCCTGTCACACAAAGCAAAATATGGCATCTTCCACAACATAATGGTTGTTGGGAGTAGGTCGGGAGTAAAGTTGGCTACTGTTCGGCAGAGCCAGCCGAATGTGGGGAGCTTCGACCATGGTTGGCTGCAAGTTGGCTGGTGCTCGTGAGCCGGTCAGCAGTGGTCAAATTTGACTCAATTTTAACTCAAATTTGACTCAATTTTAACTCAAATTCGATTTGATTCAACCATGGCCGGTAGTTGGCTGGTGTACGTGAGCCGGTCACCAGTGGTCAAATTTGACTCAATTTTAACTCAAATTCGATTTGATTCGTCTAGAACGGTTGGCGTGACCTAAATCTGGTCAGACTGCTCCAGAACTTCAGCTTTGGACGATTGATGGTCGGGGGAAGGTTCTGAATGTGTGACAGGAGCTTCAACTATAATCAAAGCACGGTTTGATATGACAAATGCCAGTCTATACAGTACAATGTGCAACTACCCCTTCTCTCAATTCGGTTGAACGATCACACAGCCTATTCACTGACAGCACATGACACAAATGTAGCAAACACCATTCTTCTGTGACATTATAAATAACAGTTTTCAACATATAACTTAAATACGGTTCGTATATTAAGATATTATGTATTGTCATCGTACAAAAAGTATCATAATGATATATTTGGTCCCAAAACGGGTTTACGTTTAGCATTAGTAGCTAACAAACCAACTTTCCAACACTCCTCTTATATACGTGGCACAATAACTTAAGATTTAATAAATAGATATAAATTAGGAATACATATAATAAAGCTTAGCTTCAACATTCGTAACAAACATTTCATTACAAAATGGTGACTTTTGATTCAAATGTCAATAATAGTCACTTAACTTCCTAAAAGTCCTTTCTATGGTCTTATTTTCTATGTTCTCGAATCTTGATTGTGTGCTTGAGCAAGAGTGTCTCGTACCCAGGGCATATTACAAATGACTCTTGATCCCAGGCTACTACGTGAGCTATGCATATGTTGACAAAAAAGCAAAACTCCAGCACCCCTCTTTCTTACTGTACTTCCACAGTAGTAGTTATTGTCATGATGTGTACGAAAGTAAAGGAAATTCAGCTCGTTTCACAACTTGAAGTAGGCGTTGAGGCGCCCCGTCTTTTCTTAATTCAAATCGACCAATCACCAACAGTTTTGAAAAGTGATAACCAATGAGCTATCGCCACACCACTTAAGCTAGAGACAGTCATCACACATCTCATGATACCTCGGATACTGCAGAATATTTGGAACTTTTAACTTAGTTGAGAAGCCCTTACAAACATTCATGGCCGAATATAATGGCCAAACGTTTTGTTCTTTTTTTTTCCTGAGATAGAAAAATATCTCTTGTCCAGCAAGGATATTTTCAGTTTACGATAAATAAGAAGTATACATGTAGAAGACTGGTTTGATCTCTAGTGATTCTTCCAGCAACAGTGGCTGGTGATAGTGGTTGGGAAGTCGCCCCATGGGCAGATTGTCGATTCTGTAACCCCGTTCCAAGAGGGCCTTCATACCTCCCAGGATCCTATGGTGCGCCTCGCCACCCTTCCACATGGTAAAGTGGGCGTACATCCACGGCAGCCAAATGCGACTGGTGTCCGTGACGAGGGTGCCGTTGGCTCCGTTGCGTTCCGCTGCGCGCAGGGAGAAGCACTGCTGGGCCAATAGGGTCCCGTCTAGCACGTCGTAGGACGATCGGATCTCACCAAGCGGCCTGAACCGGAAAGAACAGGTTCTTAATATCAATACAAAGAAACTAGATCAAACTAGTCTCAGCCAGACTAGCAACAATATATACTGTGAAGAGGCCTATATCGACCTTTGGAAAGTTGCTGGAAAGAGTAGAATTTGGCCGAATAGACAGAATATGCATGACAGGGGGGTTGGTTCGCTGAGGAGTACAATTTGCCGCTCCCGAAGCCTGGTAGAGGCTATATGTAGTTAGTTAATAAAGCGGCTAACTGTACTTTATAGCGGACCAACCCCCCTGGCATATCATCTGTCTATTTGGCCAATTTCAACTCTTTCCAGCCGCTTACCGAAGCCTGATCGAGGCTAGAGTCTTACTCCACTGGCCTATTACTTGGCCTTATTTCTGTCGAATTCTACTATCCATAACTCCTTAGCAAGACGAAATGGAGGCTACCAAGAAAAATTACAGAACTACAGGAAATAACACAGAAACATACAAAAATTCGGAGAAACCAATGGAAGAGATTGTGTGAAACTTACTTCATGAATCGCGTGTGAACAGGGAAGACCAGAGCGTCCTCGTACAGTCCGAAGTAGTCGACTTTCTCGATGTTTGTGTACTTCACCTCCTCGTACCCGTCCGCACCTGTGCTGGGTGTCAGGTTGAAAGCCCCGACTCTGGAAAACACAACATAGAAAACATTTTATATGCCTGATCCTTTACTATACAATAAACTGGTGGACGTACCAACCGTTGTACTAAGTATCTGATACCAGCCCAGAAGAGAACAAGAAATACCAGAGTCTTCAAGTACCAGAGTTATCAACCGATGATTGAGGTGTTAAAAAATTCATTCTTTCCTAGAACTATCGCAGAGTGTACGTAAAAAATTAATTTTGTGCATTAATGTATTCAAATCGTCAGAAAATTTGGACACGTTTTTCTAAGCTATATAGGGCATAAGTTCAAAGCTAACTTAAGCCTTTGGTGTTCTTTTGTCTTTCAAGTACCATGTACTAGCAAGGTAACGTGATATTCTCTTCTCACGAAGGTTGTATGTAATAGCATGACTTACGACTTGTTTATGAATGGCCGATGGTGTGAAAAAATGTTCCTACGGGTTTTACCTCCCAAAAAACACAGCTCAACTTAGAAAAGACAAAGGAGACCTGACGTTTAGTACTTTCCATCAAGGTGGTATTACAATATCCACTGTTTATATTGTGGTCTATTGGGTCCTTAGGACAAGACCCTGAGTTGTACAGTAAAGGAATACCAGCGCAGCTTAAAATACTTTGCATTGTGTGCAAGACTTTCAAAATACGCAACCCGAGACGGTGTTTTCTTTTGAATGTGCCCTAAGATAACACAAGTTGTGGTTTAGTGCGTCACTGCTACTATAGTCCCCTCGCCCTTGCATTGACTAGCGTTACTATAAATTACGCTGTAAAGTAAGAAATAGTTTGTTTTCCTGTCTTTTATTTGAAAGGCAAGTAGGTGTCAAACCGTAAATAAACTTTCCCAAAGCATCAGCATACAAGCAATTGTCGTGTACCTATGTAAACTACTTTGGCTTACAACGATTGTGGCCGCACCGTAACCCCGAAAACGCTACCAGCTGATTCGAAGTGTCCCAGAATCTAGGTCACGCCAATGCCAAAACCAGCCATGCGCCAGTGCAGTGTTAGCCTGGGTGTAGCCTGCGTGCCAGACTGCTTACAGGGCGTGCACAGGCCAGTTCCTCGCGGCTCCAGGGCCAACATTTCCTCCAAAGAAATTATGCCACCCAGGCTATAGCCTAGATGCAGACCCCGGCTCAACACAATACTCAGCAAAATTAGCACGGGGGAGTCTAATAAATTTATCTCTCGAGCCGCTCCGAGTCTATGGTAAAACAGCTAGCGTAGTAGGTAAAAGAGAAAACAGTTGGCCGCTCCCGAAGCCTGTAAACTGTTCTCTCCTGTAGACCAACTCCCCTGGCATGCTATCTCTCTATTTGGCCGATTTCTACTCTTTCCAGACGCTTCCCGAAGCCTGGTAGAGGCTACTCCTGGCAACAGTCTGGGGCCCAGACTGCCCAGGCTAGGGTTGTGTACAACACGTTAAGTTAACTTCACGTACACTTCACGTTCCCGTCCTCAGTAGACCGCGCGCCTGCTCTCTACAGTACCGAACGCGCGCCGCGCTAACCACTCGCGCCGCACCGGGTCGGGGTCGTCTCTTGGCCGGCGCCCAGGCCACGCGACCCCCGCTATCTGCACCCCGTATCTGTCTGTTTGCGATCAAGCCATTCTGACACTGGGGAAGACGACAAGGTTTTAACCAGAAACACGCAAGCTTCACGGCCACTGTCAACTCCAAGGTTGTTCACCCCAGGTTCTGGGGATGAAAGGGCTTTCCTTTCCAGATTTAGCTCCACGGGATTCCCTCTCGATACAGTGTGTGTTTTCGAACATGTTGTTTACGATTGAGTGATTTGTTCAGTATGTCTTCTGTATCTGCGTACTAGTACCTTTACGACATAATCATTTCTTCACTTACTCACTCACTCACACACACACTCTCTCTCTCTCCCTTTATTTTCCCTCACTCATTCGTTCGCACATTCCCCAATCCTTTTTTTTTCGGGTAGAAGAGAACATTATATAATCCTTAGGCCGTTGCAGTTGTAATAGTTACGAAATACCACATGTTTGGCAAGTTCCAATAGACGGACCGTGGACTTTGATCGCTAGGTTTGCTTTGTTGCGGTTAGAACACAGATATTTTAAACTCCAGAACAGACACTTTTCTCGTTATTTCGGTCTTCAGAAGAAACGCCAAGTGTTTTTCCATTTTCGCTCGCATAAACGTCTTTGAAAAAAATCTCTTGAAGTTTTTTTTTGGGTGTGAACTTGGAACGGTCGCCGCTAACCTCCAACTTCAAGTTGAATCTACAAAACCTACAGGTGGTTTTGATTTCAGAAGCAAAGTCATGCCACATTTTGTTGATTGATTTAACGGATAACGACTTGGGTCCGAGCTAAAAAGAGTCAACAGATCTCACAACATAAAACGAGTTATTTAGGAAAGTCGTAAAACCCGTAAAAACCAATATAGAAAATTTATGTAAACATGCGAAAGTATAATAAGGACATAATGCTAGTATAGAATATAAAATCACTTGTTTTTAGGAATGATAGCAGTGGCTAAGATGAATTGTTTCCGTGACTGGTTAGTGAAATCGCGGACACACTTTGAAGATACGAGGAATCTTTGCTGGCAAAGGTCCAAAACGCACGATTGTTACACGTCCTCTGATTGGTTGCAGTCATGTCGAACGGTAGCTGACCGGGAATGGCCTATCATAGAGCCACCTGGAGACAATATCAGTCATTAAGGTAGGCGGGTGCTAGTTAGCACAAAAGTCTGGTCCAGCAAAACAACCATAGTCTCCGGTTGGGTAACAAACAAGGCCTTTAGGCTTGATAAGGCGCTTCTAGGGGGCTTCTCAGAACTTGAAAGGCGATAGCCTCTCCCAGTTGGCTGATTACTAGGCTAATCTGTGAACATTCCTGAGAGTTAACCTCGCCTTTTTCTATACTTTTTATCTGAAGAATGTTACCAAAAGGTGATTCAGAATCAAAGGAATTGATAAATTTTTGGCAGAATCACATGGACACCAGAAAAGATAAAGAAAGTCAACTTTAGAATTTAATCTGATAAAACACAGTTCAAATTTCTAGCTGATACCAAGGAGCTTGCTCCTTGCTGATATCTAAAAATGAAGCAAAAATACGGGCAAGGAAACACAGCAAGAATGCGGATACAATCATCGGAAGCGATTTGCGAGGAATTCCAGTGAGATTCCAGTGTAATGATTGTTAGAGAAAGGTCAATTGTTCTGATACAGAATTTAGCTCCCGGGGATTCTTAGTCATTTAAGATTGCCCTGACCACATCGGCAACCTAACAATCATCCTTCTGACTAAATACCACAGAAGATAATAAAGGTTCACATAAGGACAGGCGTATTTTTCTTTAACTAAAAGTCGTATGTAGCTGGGAACTTTATTTATGTTTCTTCTTCGCTACCCTGGGGGCCAGACTAGTATCGGGCCGTTCGCCGGTTTCCTTCGGTAGCTAAGAGCACTACGCCCGCCTGTCGCCCTCCGCTACAGGGGAGTTGAGCCCGAGGGAGTTTGGCCGGCCCTATTACTAAAAGCTACAGTAGGTTAACAGTCGCCCGTGTAAGCGTGTGGTGTGTAAGGTGTAATACCACACTTGGCGAGTGCGAATAGGGGGCGTGGCACTTCGGCAAATACTTCACTCAACACAAAAGAACGAAGACTCATTCGTACTGTCACGTCCACATACTACTGAAGAGAATCAAATACAGTACACCTGTGAGTAGTTTATGATAGAGACGGGTTGGGTTATAAGGAATTTACGGCATAAAAGCGCCCTTTGTCTCACCTCGTGACCACAACATGTCACAAGGTGCCGGGCACAGAAAGCACGCGCGTGCCTGCACCGATGACTCACCCACCGCACAAGGAAAGTGATCGCATACCCTCCACTTCCGTCGGAAATACTCGGAACACTCCAAGAAGGCGTAAAACAAAACCGCCCGGACGTTTGGCTTGTTTGTGTAGCCAGGCAGCGGAACAAAATGTTTACTGTAGAAATCTTGACAATTCTTTTCATGTATACTAGTAAGCAACGGCGACTTTTACTTTCCGAACTCTGTAGGCATAGTTACAGGTGTTTGCCGAGTGTTGGTTTTGAAATTTTAAACGCGCCCAGACATGAAGACAATCCTTTATTTATTTTCCATGGGTTGGTCATCCGTTGCGAAATACAATGCAATACTTCATAGTAATGAACTTAAAAAACATACAATCTACCTGAACCTAGGAATTTATAGTGATTCTTGAATAGGAAAAAAATCTGCCGGTACAAAACGTTTCCGCTGTTTTGTGGCGCATTATTGAAACTTATACAGATATAATAGACTTCATCCATTGCATGCACATGTTTGAATGTAGAATTAAGTAATTGTACAGAAAAAATACCAAGACAATATATTGGGGGAACGAATACAAAGGGGCGTGTGCTAGAGCGTAAAAATTGGTAAAACAGGTCCAAAAGTATGCGGCATAGAAGATCATGAATTCTCGAGAAAAATCTGAAAATAAGTAAAGAAATGCTCCTACCTGAAAGGGTGAACCAAGTCGAGAAGACGAACATCGGAGAGAAAGTCGTACACGTGTTCTTCGCCGACCTCGATGAAAATCTCTTCCGTGAACTCGATCTCCGTCCTTCGGGTGAGGAGCGAGCTTAGCCCGACCAGGATCGCCGCTGCCACCGCTAGCTGTGCCGGGCTGAGCCCGTAGACTGACTTGCTCATCATTATTGTAACAAAACTGTAGAGTATCGGCAAACAGGTGAAATCTGTCGTTGCTCGTGCTGTGTTGGAGCTAGCTGTAGAGTTGGCGGAAGTTGTGTGTTCTGTTCTGACTGGGCTAGCCCGGCCGGGGATCCCCTATTTATGTCCGAGACGTCACACGCGTCACGCGGTCACGTGACGTGACGTCACCATGGTTGCGTCATGCTCCCAAACATCAACAGAACTGGTCCGAACCCGCACAGACTCTAAACCTGACGTCAATCCTTTTGTTCTATGAAATTGTACGTCGTAAGGAGGTGTGTCACTTCTTCCAAGTAACTCTACAAGACTCATCAGAGTTAACATATGACCATATTCGTAGAAATTGTGGTCTGACCTTGCTATGACAAAGTTACGGATTTTCAAGGTCAAATGAGTCCGTGTCAAGGGGGGCGTGTCTGATGGCACGTCCTCCCCACAATGCCCTGCGGACAATACTACCGGTATTAAAGACATCCAGTGCAGTTTTTAGGGCTTGGAAACCCGATTTTTTAAAGCCAATATTCTAGCCATTTATTTAACTTACATAATGAGTTGACATCACAATATCACAATCCACAACCCCACACTATCCCACCTTAATTGAGCAAAAATTCCCGAAATTTTGACGAATAATGGTCACTGGAAGGGCCCTGGGCTGAGTTTTAGGGTACCGCCCAGAAAATAAAGGACTCATCTCGGGGCTTGTTTCTGCAGTTTTAAATGCCCGAAGTATGAAATGCTTAGCCTGAGTGTCAGCCTTGTTAGCTTTCGTCCGCTCCCAAGCTAACAAGGCTGACACTCAGGCTATAAAATGCTGATTTAAATGTCCTAATGTGAAGCAGTATGCATGTGTCAATATCACAAAGATTGCCTTAGTCAGAATATTTCCAGTTTTGCTGCCCCGAAATGGCTTTGAATGCCTTTAAACCCTAGTGACGTCTTGTTGTTCTCCTGCTTAGTGTTATTGTTACGGATGGATAGAGCTCGTCCAAACAATATGTCAAGAAAATTAACGACGCATGTGTACACAGTCATAGCCAAGGGGCAAGAAAGGCTCTTATTTCACCTATTATCTTTTCACTTGGTTAGTAATCCTCCGGATGAACAACAAGTCATTTGCACGTACACACTCACAAAACTGGAGTCTATCCTCTTATCTCTTTTTCTAGAGGAAAGAAAACACAAGATTCAGCTTGAAGAAATATACAAGGAGATAACTGGAGGAAAAGAATTCAGCGGAAGCGACTATTCAGGGAAAATAAGTGATATCGCTGGAAAAGCTTTAGGAAGTCCTCCGGTCGTTTGCTGATAAAAATTACGAAACTTGCCAAAGAATGATGAAATAGCCATAGCTGAGAAGTACTCTCTAAGCAGAGGTTGTTGGGGAATGATCGTTAGCTTTTCATATATGGCCGTGTTTTTGTCGCTACCCCCACCCGTCGGTGGCCGGCGACCTTCTCTGGCTAATTGATATTGCCTGGCCAATTTGAAAGTGTCTTTTTGAAACCGAAATGGATCTGCTTGGAGATTAGCATAGAGGCACATGCGGTGAAATTGAGTATATGGTGAAATAGTTCTAGTGGGTTTTATGTTCAGTTGAAGTCATAAAACCACAATACTCTGTAGCTGCCTTGTATTGCAGTTTATCTGACCCTGACCTTCTCCCTCATGACCTCAATGAAAAGCGACCTGCAGGCCGATTTCAGATTCTCCCTCCATATCAACTACTAGTATTGTAATAAATAAGGTACAAACTATCCAGGTCACATATCAGTGAGAGGACTTTGTCCCGACATAACCTGGAAGACAAGGTCACAAAATTAGTTCCATAAGAAGTAGCAATTCAAAGCCAGACAGCGCACTTGGAGCACTACCAGGGCTCCTTGACCTGAGAATAAGGTTCGGCGCGAGATTGTAAGAACAGTCCAACTGGCAAAGAAGATATTTTGTCTGATACATGTACAGTTGGTCACAAAAGGACAAGATTCTTTCAGTTCATGCTTGGGTCAATTTGAATTCTATTTGAAAACTATCTACTTCTATAAGGGGCAGACAGACTGCCCTTTAAATACAGCTTATATAGCTGAGTGAGTGAGTGAGTGAGTGAGTGAGTGAGTGAGTGAGTGAGTGAGTGAGTGACCTTGGTATCGCTGGCTCACTCACTCACTCACTCACTCACTCACTCACTCACTCACTCACTCACTCACTCACTCACTCACTCACTCACTCACTCACTCACTCACTCAATATGGTCACAATGACCAGGTAGTGCTTACGTGGGGCCGGGTGGTCACTTACTGTACATGTATAACAGTTACGGAAACAAACCTATAGTACGTTAACCTCCTAACCTTGGCTCACGTGCGAAACATGCTGGTAAAAAAGAGGAAAGAAAATTTGCTTTACTTCGATTGACTGAGCAATAAAGACGCCGTGACAACTGCCTAGTAGACCTCCATGGTTCGTTGTCACTGTACTTTTTTTTCAGTTTACTGTGACAAAATAAATAATATTTAGCACGTGCGCCATGTTTGTAAGGTGAACGGCCTGTAGGGTGTAAATATTCACTAGTACTTTTGTGTTCAGGGTTGTTGACCCCGAATCTGGAGGTTCTGGGTTTGAATCCCAGTTATTTGTTGTGTCCTTGGGAAAGGCAGAGGCAACTTTCACCTATTTCCTTACTAGTTTCACTCAGGTGCAATGCCTCAGAATGGGCTCAAAAGGCACAATTAGTCTTTTTACGCCTTTAATTTACCCCCACCCAGGACCTAACTCGCAGTTACATTTCTCTCATGAGAGTTAAAATCATCCTTATTAAGTTTTGTCAAACAAATAAGACGAATAGTTAAAACACCTAGGTCAATCCCTTAATATGAGTTAAGGAACTCACGGGACGCAAGGTAAGAATGCGTGCGTCTGGACGCCGAAACTGCAGTTTCAAAAGGGGATTCATTAGGTCTAAAAATTATAAAACACCACAAAACATAAAACACAAGACAAATAGTAGAACATGATCCATGTTTTAGAGGGTGAAGGACCTGGTCAAGCCCCGTCTGGCAAGAAAATCCGCGGCATCTCATTAACATACGATGACGTCAATGGGGTAACCCGATCGCCAGACACCCCGACCGGAGAAGACACCTCTCCTTTGTGTTCCTCACGGTTCGGACGTACTTGGCTGGTCACGGATTCTAACAACGGCAGGGATTATTGTTGTTTACTGGTTTCCTACAGGTGAGTCGCTTTGAATGCGTGTATGGTGGTAGTTTTCTGCAAAGTTTATCAGTAGTAAGCGCCATTTTGTGTTCTGAACTTCCGGTTTCTGAAGTCGGGAAACTGAGGAGGGCAACTTCAACTGCGAAAATGGCGTCTGGGTGTCTCGAGATCGCTTTGGGAGATAGTTTCTTCCTTTCTTCACTTCGCTTTCGCCCACATTTCTTTCCTCCGTTCAGCGATCACTTTGTAAGATTACCGTCGCCTGAACACAACTAGTCTTTTCAACTTCTTGTTGTCTTCTGTCGGCCCACTAGCCCGATCGTCGAGTACAAAGTTCAACTAGTTTTGCCCCAAACAAAGTCTTTAGCCGGGTGTCAGAGTGTGACTTAACCAGGCATTTTATCGCGAATTGATCAAATGAGTAGAATGACTTGACATATCTCCTATTTGTTCGACTGACGACCCTAAACAGTTAGCCTCAGGGTATCCATTCTGTAGGACTGGTGAAGGCTAGTGCCTGTCCAGATCTTTTCCTCATTTCCTTATCTTTTGTTTTCAAACAAATTCTTTAGTATGGAGGACATTCCTTCTAGAAAGATGACGTCTAGAAGGTGAGTGACCTCATTTTGGAGGTCAGGGATAACGCGAAACGGTTCAAGGTCACCTTCAAACTGACCTTCGTATTCACCCTACGGTTTTGCCGAACAAAGAGACTAAGGGGGAGCTTCTTCCAATATTAAGGTGTTAAACACCATCAAGTGAGAACTAACGTATGTATATAGGACATGTGTCATGATGTGTGTGTGTGGGTGGGGGGGGTATACTCTCTTTATTTCAGCCTTTTCTACGATTCTATTTTGCCTTTTATCAAGTAGTTCCCATGAAACAAAGAATCGTACAAAAGACCTCCAAAACAACAATTTACTATTGACGAAACCTCTGATTTAACTGTAATGGGTGACCTAATGTGCATGCGAATCGGGTAGGAAATTTAATTGGTAAAATTTTAGTGGAAAACAACACCTTATTGAACGAGGCTGCTGAGGCAATCGCAAAAACAAAATGTTATAAATGCTAAAAACGCATAAAGTTCGTGTGGAAAGACGCTATAACAGCGTAATGGCCAAGTACATGCTTCAGACTGCTCCATTTGTTAGGTAAACAATCCATGCGGAGTTCAGAGGTACTGCAGCTCATCAACATAATTTATTCAAAAATACTTTTAGCACGAATTCTCCGCGTATTATATGCCGATTAGACATAGGTATCCCTTTTCTGCGTCTGAATAAGTATAATTATTCTACCAGCACATTGTAAGGGTCATATATTTGTTATTTAGGATATCGTATGCCATCTGTGATACCGGAAACCACTATGAGAATATTGTATTTCCGGTGTTGGATGTCATGTTCGCCCAATAGCGGTATTAATTATGCAAATGATAATTTTTGCATGGCTCGTGATTCCGACCTGCTTCACGGGCCAAATTATAAACCAAAGAAGTTCATGTCCATACACACACTGTTGTACACAAGTCTGTGGCGTCGTATACAATTCTGTGGCACACGACTCTGCTCCGCTCCGACCCAATGGTGGCCATTCATATCATGGGGTTGAAGTTGTCACACTGCTTGGGTTTTGTACTCGATCCCTTTTATCTTTCTGCTCGTTCCCTTCGATCGCTATAAGCCTCCACTTGCCTTCCCAAAGTAGCCTCTACCAGGCTTCGGAAAGAGTAGAAATCGGCCAAATAGACAGACAGCATGCCAACTCCCCTGGCATGCTCGGCATGCTATCTGTTTATTTGGCCAATTTCTACTCCCGAAGCCTGGTACAAATGTACAGGCTATTCCCAAAGATCTTAAGCCAAAATTCATCAGCC